AAGTCGTTTTGATACTTGTTGTCTATGAATCCGTCTTGATTTTCGAAAATAGACTAAAAACCGATTTTTCATTTTTTTGATTCTTCGATTGTTATTCGTAAAATTCCTTTTTCAATTTTTTTATTTCGTAATTTTCGAATTTTCAAATTTTCGAATTTTCAGTTTTAGATTCTAGAATTTTCAATTTTTCGATAATTCAGTTTCTCGATTTTTCGACTTTTCGATTTCGGGGTTTCTGATTTTTTCGATTTTTTGCGTTTTCAATTTTTAGATTTTTTAATGTTCTAGTCGAAAAACAGAGAAACTGGAAAATCGAAAAGTTGAAAAATTCAAAAATCCACAAATTAAAACCGGAAAATCTAGAAACTGATAAATCGAGAAGTTAAAAACGTAATTTCTCAACTCCCAACCTTTCGATTATCCCAATTTTCGATTTTTCAATTTTTAGATCTTTCAGTTTCTCGATTTTTCCATTTTTGGATTTCTCGATTTTTCAATTATTTATAATTTTAATTTTTCAATTTTACGAATTACACAGGAGTAAATAAAAAAGTCGTTTTGATACTTGTTGTCTATGAATCCGTCTTGATTTTCGAAAATAGACTAAAAACCGATTTTTCACTTTTTTCATTCTTCGATTGTTATTCGTAAAATTCCTTTTTCAATTTTTTTATTTCGTAATTTTCGAATTTTCAAATTTTCGAATTTTCAGTTTTAGATTCTAGAATTTTCAATTTTTCGATAATTCAGTTTCTCGATTTTTCGACTTTTCGATTTCGGGGTTTCTGATTTTTTCGATTTTTTGCCTTTTCAATTTTTAGATTTTTTAATTTTCGTCGAAAAACAGAGAAACTGGAAAATCGAAAAGTTGAAAAATTCAAAAATCCACAAATTAAAACCGGAAAATCTAGAAACTGATAAATCGAGAAGTTAAAAACGTAATTTCTCAACTCCCAACCTTTCGATTATCCCAATTTTCGATTTTTCAATTTTTAGATCTTTCAGTTTCTCGATTTTTCCATTTTTGGATTTCTCGATTTTTCAGTTATTTATAATTTTAATTTTTCAATTTTACGAATTACACAGGAGTAAATAAAAAAGTCGTTTTGATACTTGTTGTCTATGAATCCGTCTTGATTTTCGAAAATAGACTAAAAACCGATTTTTCATTTTTTTGATTCTTCGATTGTTATTCGTAAAATTCCTTTTTCAATTTTTTTATTTCGTAATTTTCGAATTTTCAAATTTTCGAATTTTCAGTTTTAGATTCTAGAATTTTCAATTTTTCGATAATTCAGTTTCTCGATTTTTCGACTTTTCGATTTCGGGGTTTCTGATTTTTTCGATTTTTTGCCTTTTCAATTTTTAGATTTTTTAATTTTCGTCGAAAAACAGAGAAACTGGAAAATCGAAAAGTTGAAAAATTCAAAAATCCACAAATTAAAACCGGAAAATCTAGAAACTGATAAATCGAGAAGTTAAAAACGTAATTTCTCAACTCCCAACCTTTCGATTATCCCAATTTTCGATTTTTCAATTTTTAGATCTTTCAGTTTCTCGATTTTTCCATTTTTGGATTTCTCGATTTTTCAATTATTTATAATTTTAATTTTTCAATTTTACGAATTACACAGGAGTAAATAAAAAAGTCGTTTTGATACTTGTTGTCTATGAATCCGTCTTGATTTTCGAAAATAGACTAAAAACCGATTTTTCATTTTTTTGATTCTTCGATTGTTATTCGTAAAATTCCTTTTTCAATTTTTTTATTTCGTAATTTTCGAATTTTCAAATTTTCGAATTTTCAGTTTTAGATTCTAGAATTTTCAATTTTTCGATAATTCAGTTTCTCGATTTTTCGACTTTTCGATTTCGGGGTTTCTGATTTTTTCGATTTTTTGCGTTTTCAATTTTTAGATTTTTTAATGTTCTAGTCGAAAAACAGAGAAACTGGAAAATCGAAAAGTTGAAAAATTCAAAAATCCACAAATTAAAACCGGAAAATCTAGAAACTGATAAATCGAGAAGTTAAAAACGTAATTTCTCAACTCCCAACCTTTCGATTATCCCAATTTTCGATTTTTCAATTTTTAGATCTTTCAGTTTCTCGATTTTTCCATTTTTGGATTTCTCGATTTTTCAATTATTTATAATTTTAATTTTTCAATTTTACGAATTACACAGGAGTAAATAAAAAAGTCGTTTTGATACTTGTTGTCTATGAATCCGTCTTGATTTTCGAAAATAGACTAAAAACCGATTTTTCATTTTTTTGATTCTTCGATTGTTATTCGTAAAATTCCTTTTTCAATTTTTTTATTTCGTAATTTTCGAATTTTCAAATTTTCGAATTTTCAGTTTTAGATTCTAGAATTTTCAATTTTTCGATAATTCAGTTTCTCGATTTTTCGACTTTTCGATTTCGGGGTTTCTGATTTTTTCGATTTTTTGCCTTTTCAGTTTTTAGATTTTTTAATTTTCGTCGAAAAACAGAGAAACTGGAAAATCGAAAAGTTGAAAAATTCAAAAATCCACAAATTAAAACCGGAAAATCTAGAAACTGATAAATCGAGAAGTTAAAAACGTAATTTCTCAACTCCCAACCTTTCGATTATCCCAATTTTCGATTTTTCAATTTTTAGATCTTTCAGTTTCTCGATTTTTCCATTTTTGGATTTCTCGATTTTTCAATTATTTATAATTTTAATTTTTCAATTTTACGAATTACACAGGAGTAAATAAAAAAGTCGTTTTGATACTTGTTGTCTATGAATCCGTCTTGATTTTCGAAAATAGACTAAAAACCGATTTTTCACTTTTTTCATTCTTCGATTGTTATTCGTAAAATTCCTTTTTCAATTTTTTTATTTCGTAATTTTCGAATTTTCAAATTTTCGAATTTTCAGTTTTAGATTCTAGAATTTTCAATTTTTCGATAATTCAGTTTCTCGATTTTTCGACTTTTCGATTTCGGGGTTTCTGATTTTTTCGATTTTTTGCCTTTTCAATTTTTAGATTTTTTAATTTTCGTCGAAAAACAGAGAAACTGGAAAATCGAAAAGTTGAAAAATTCAAAAATCCACAAATTAAAACCGGAAAATCTAGAAACTGATAAATCGAGAAGTTAAAAACGTAATTTCTCAACTCCCAACCTTTCGATTATCCCAATTTTCGATTTTTCAATTTTTAGATCTTTCAGTTTCTCGATTTTTCCATTTTTGGATTTCTCGATTTTTCAATTATTTATAATTTTAATTTTTCAATTTTACGAATTACACAGGAGTAAATAAAAAAGTCGTTTTGATACTTGTTGTCTATGAATCCGTCTTGATTTTCGAAAACAGACTAAAAACCGATTTTTCACTTTTTTGATTCTTCGATTGTTATTCGTAAAATTCCTTTTTCAATTTTTTTATTTCGTAATTTTCGAATTTTCAAATTTTCGAATTTTCAATTTTAGATTCTAGAATTTTAAATTTTTCGATAATTCAGTTTCTCGATTTTTCGACTTTTCGATTTCGGGGTTTCTGATTTTTTCGATTTTTTGCGTTTTCAATTTTTAGATTTTTTAATTTTCAAGTCGAAAAACAGAGAAACTGGAAAATCGAAAAGTTGAAAAATTCAAAAATCCACAAATTAAAACCGGAAAATCTAGAAACTGATAAATCGAGAAGTTAAAAACGTAATTTCTCAACTCCCAACCTTTCGATTATCCCAATTTTCGATTTTTCAATTTTTAGATCTTTCAGTTTCTCGATTTTTCCATTTTTGGATTTCTCGATTTTTCAATTATTTATAATTTTAATTTTTCAATTTTACGAATTACACAGGAGTAAATAAAAAAGTCGTTTTGATACTTGTTGTCTATGAATCCGTCTTGATTTCCGAAAATAGACTAAAAACCGATTTTTCACTTTTTTGATTCTTCGATTGTTATTCGTAAAATTCCTTTTTCAATTTTTTTATTTCGTAATTTTCGAATTTTCAAATTTTTGAATTTTCAGTTTTAGATTCTAGAATTTTCAATTTTTCGATAATTCAGTTTCTCGATTTTTCGACTTTTCGATTTCGGGGTTTCTGATTTTTTCGATTTTTTGCCTTTTCAATTTTTAGATTTTTTAATTTTCGTCGAAAAACAGAGAAACTGGAAAATCGAAAAGTTGAAAAATTCAAAAATCCACAAATTAAAACCGGAAAATCTAGAAACTGATAAATCGAGAAGTTAAAAACGTAATTTCTCAACACCCAACCTTTCGATTATCCCAATTTTCGATTTTTCAATTTTTAGATCTTTCAGTTTCTCGATTTTTCCATTTTTGGATTTCTCGATTTTTCAATTATTTATAATTTTAATTTTTCAATTTTACGAATTACACAGGAGTAAATAATAAAGTCGTTTTGATACTTGTTGTCTATGAATCCGTCTTGATTTTAGAAAACAGACTAAAATAGTATATTATTAGCCAAGGTTGCAGAGCCAAGCATTCTAGACCGAGCGCAAATTAGAACCCGAGACGCGCAGCGTCGAGGGCTCTAAGGGCGAGGTCTAGAAGTGGCTTTGCAACCGTGGTTAATATACTATTTTTTTCACTAGTAGAAACCATAAGACAATAAACTGAAAAATAAACGTTCAATTTTTTGACACAACATGATTTTGTTTTGATTTCTAATCAAACTTAATCTAAATCTTCAACACAAAGAAAACCGTTTATATTTGTCGCTGAGTTAATCATTTTATCTTGTACCATTTACCAACTACCATGCGTATGCTCAAGTAATGTTTGTAGCACACATTTGTTCATTTTTTAAGAAATAATCACATCAAACATTGCGTACATAACCTCAATTTTTCTTTTTGAACCGGTGGTAGCAAAAGTTGAATTTGCTCCCTCTAAATGAGTCGACATTTGCATGCGTCATGGCTGCTAGTGAAAAAACTATTTTTCGTGTTTGTGACAATTATTGCGTCGCTATGGTAATAGCAAAAACAGCGTGCTAATTTTCCCCCGAATCAAAATCCACTTCCCTCTGCTTTTCTGACAGGTGCCAAATAAAATTCAAGTGTTTGTAAAAATTCCCCACGATGGTCTGAGAAAATGCTCTCCTCGAACTTTGCAATTGCGGTGATCACTATCGTCCTCCGAGGACTGTTGGACAGAATTTTGGCTGCCGTAAGTTAGCTTGTTGTCTCGACGTTTCTAATCGCCCTTCAGGTACAGACGCCCATTGTCAAAACTTCGTCCACCCCATCGTCCACCTCCATCGTCGTAATCTCTGGAATCCTGTTGTTTCTTTACAACCGTCTGGTCAAATCCCGGAAAATCCAAGTCACCTATCCGTCCACCACCCGAAGGAAAATTCTAGATGGACGCCTTCACCAAAAAGAGTAATTTTAGCGCCTATTGTGCTTCGTTACTCAAACTAGGTTTTGCAGCTCCAGGTCTTCCTCTGGAAGCGCTATAAGAAACCATCAAACATGGTCCCCGAGGAGGTTCAGACGCCGGTCTAGAAGCCAGTGCAGGAATAACCTCCTCCAGACCGCGAAAGAGTCTCTGGAGATGCTTCACGGCGACGACGTTTCTTCGTCCTCCATGTTTTCGAAGAGCGGCTGCTCGGAGAAGTGTCGCTGTAAAGACAGCAGTGTGCCTAGGACGGAGATGCCCGAGGCGTCTCCGAGCGTCTACAGCATCAAGTCCGACGGGGAAGTCCCCGACAAGGTCGAAGACAAGAGGGACGACCCCGCGAACCAGTTCCAAGGTTTCGGGGATTGCCAGTGGCAGGAGCACCAGAAGAATCCGCGACGAAGGAAAAGAACGCGGTCCACGAGGAAAACGAGGAGCGGGAAAATTTATTCCTCTTACTTATGATGGTGTTACTAAAATAAATTGTAATGACTGGTCTATAGCTGTTTTTTTTACAATAATAGCGTACGAGTAGCGTGTAGGAAAGTTGGTATTCACGTTTCGGAAATAAGTTTGTCCTTTTGTTGAAAAATTAAAAATTCGAGATTTTTAAATTTTTGTTTTTTTTTAATTGTTAATTTTTCGATTTTTCCGTGTTTCATTTTAAAATTTTTCGATTTCTCGATTTTTTTAGTTTTCGATTTTCATTATGATTTTTATTTTTCAGTAAAATTTTTATATTTTTCGATTTTCCACGTTGCTTTTTAATTTTTCGATTTTCCATCTTTTATAATTTTTCGTTTTTTCGATTTTTCAATTTCTCAAATTTTAATTTATCACTTTTTCAGGTTTCAATGTTACACATTTTCGACTTTACGTTTTTTTTTTTTTGGAATTTAGAATTTTGTAATTGGTTCATTTTTCAATTTTCCGATTTTTAATTTTCACTTTCTTCAGGTTACATTTTTTCTTTTCCAATTGTTAACCTTTTAATTATTCGATTTTGAGTTTCTTTATTTTTCAATTCTTCGATATCTCAATTTTTAAATTGTTCGGTTTTTCACTGTCTCTTTTTCATTTTTTAATTTTTCAATTTTTCAGTTTTACAATTTTTCGATGTTTCAGTGTTACAATTTTCAGATTTTTTGATTTTTTAAAATTTCACTTTTAAGAAGTTCGTCCTTTTTTCGAAAAATTAAAAATCGAAAAATCGAGAAAATGAAAAATTAAAAATAAAGTACTTCCAAGTATGTAATTCCAGGTTGTTTCGTTTCTTCGATTTTTTATTTTCTCAGTTCGAGATTTTTAAATTTTTGTTTTTTTAATTGTTATTTTTTTTATTTCTCCGTGTTTCGTTTTTGCATTTTTCGATTTCTCGATTTTTTGGTTTTTCGATTTTCATTATGATTTTTATTTTTCTGTAAAATTTTTATATTTTTCGATTTTCCACGTTGCTTTTTAATTTTTCGATTTTCCATCTTTTACAATTTTTCGTTTTTTCGATTTTTCAATTTCTAAAATTTTAATTTATCACTTTTTCAGGTTTCAATGTTACACATTTTTGATTTTACGTTTTTATTTTTTTTTGGAATTTAGAATTTTGTAATTGGTTCATTTTTAAATTTTCCGATTTTTAATTTTCACTTTCTTCAGGTTACATTTTTTCCTTTTCCAATTGTTAACCTTTTAATTATTCGATTTTGAGTTTCTTTATTTTTCAATTCTTCGATATCTCAATTTTTAGATTGTTCGGTTTTTCAATGTCTCCTTTTTGATTTTTTAATTTTTCAATTTTTCAGTTTTACAATTATTCGATGGTTCAGTGTTACAATGTTCAGATTTTTTGATTTTTTAAAATTTCACTTTTAATAAGTTCGTCCTTTTCTCGAAAAATTAAAAAACGAAAAATTGAGAAAATGAAAAATTAAAAATAATTTATTTCCAAGTCGTTTCGTTTCTTCAATTTTTTATTTTCTCAATTCGAGATTTTTAAATTTTTGTTTTTTTTTAATTGTTAATTTTTCGATTTTTCCGTGTTTCATTTTAAAATTTTTCGATTTCTCGATTTTTTAGTTTTTCGATTTTCATTATGATTTTTATTTTTCAGTAAAATTTTTATATTTTTCGATTTTCCAAGTTGCTTTTTAATTTTTCGATTTTCCATCTTTTACAATTTTTCGTTTTCTCGATTTTTCAATTTCTCAAATTTTAATTTATCACTTTTTCAGGTTTCAATGTTACACATTTTCGATTTTACGTTTTTATTTTTTTTTTGGAATTTAGAATTTTGTGATTGGTTCATTTTTAAATTTTCCGATTTTTAATTTTCACTTTCTTCAGGTTACATTTTTTCCTTTTCCAATTGTTAACCTTTTAATTATTCGATTTTGAGTTTCTTTATTTTTCAATTCTCGATATCTCAATTTTTAGATTGTTCGGTTTTTCAATGTCTCCTTTTTGATTTTTTAATTTTTCAATTTTTCAGTTTTACAATTTTTCGATGTTTCAGTGTAACAATTTTCCGATTTTTTGATTTTTTAAAATTTCACTTTTAATAAGTTCGTCCTTTTCTCGAAAAATTAAAAAACGAAAAATTGAGAAATCGAAAAATTAAAAATAAACTATTTCCAAGTAGGGTAATTCCAAGTTGTTTCGTTTCTTCGATTTTTTTATTTTCTCAGTTCGAGATTTTTAAATTTTTGGTTTTTTTAATTCTTAATTTTTTTATTTTTCCGTGTTTCGTTTTTGCATTTTTCGATTTCTCGATTTTTTTGTTTTTCGATTTTCATTATGGTTTTTATTTTTCAGTAAAATTTTTATATTTTTCGATTTTCCACGTTGCTTTTTAATGTTTTGATTTTCCATCTTTTACAATTTTTCGTTTTTTCGATTTTTCAATTTCTCAAATGTTAATTTATCACTTTTTCAGGTTTCAATGTTACACATTTTCGATTTTACGTTTTTATTTTTTTTTTGGAATTTAGAATTTTGTAATTGTTTCATTTTTAAATTTACCGATTTTTAATTTTCACTTTCTTCAGGTTAAATTTTTTCCTTTTCCAATTGTTAACCTTTCAATTATTCGATTTTGAGTTTCTTTATTTTTCAATTCTTCGATATTTCAATTTATAGATTGTTCGGTTTTTCAATGTCTCCTTTTTGATTTTTTAATTTTTCAATTTTTCCGTTTTACAATTTTTCGATGTTTCAGTGTTACAATTTTCAGATTTTTTGATTTTTTAAAATTTCACTTTTAATAAGTTCGTCCTTTTCTCGAAAAATTAAAAACGAAAAATTGTAAAATCGAAAAACTAAAAATAAACTATTCCCAAGTATGTAATTCCAAGTTGTTTCGTTTCTTCGATTTTTTATTTTCTCAGTTCGAGATTTTTAAATTTTTGTTTTTTTTAATTGTTAATATTTCGATTTTTCCGTGTTTCATTTTAAAATTTTTCGATTTCTCGATTTTTTAGTTTTTCGATTTTCATTATGATTTTTATTTTTCTGTAAAATTTTTAAATTTTTCGATTTTCCAAGTTGCTTTTTAATTTTTCGATTTTCCATCTTTTACAATTTTTCGTTTTTTCGATTTTTCAATTTCTCAAATTTTAATTTATCACTTTTTCAGGTTTCAATGTTACACATTTTCGATTTTACGTTTTTATTTTTTTTTTGAATTTAAAATTTTGTAATTGGTTCATTTTTAAATTTTCCGATTTTTAATTTTCACTTTCTTCAGGTTACATTTTTTCCTTTTCCAATTGTTAACCTTTTAATTATTCGATTTTGAGTTTCTTTATTTTTCAATTCTTCGATATCTCAATTTTTAGATTGTTCGGTTTTTCAGTGTCTCCTTTTTGATTTTTTAATTTTTCAATTTTTCGGTTTTACAATTTTTCGATGTTTAAGTATTACAATTTTCAGATTTTTTGATTTATTAAAATTTCACTTTTAATAATATAATATAATAATATAATATAATATATATATTTGGTCTCCACAGATACATATATGTATAACAGTATATAAGACAAGTCAAAAAGAAAAAAAAAAAAAAATACAAACAAAGAAACACTAAAACTAAAAATTAAAAACTAAACATTTAACAAGCAAAATAACAAAAAGACAAAATGATATTGTCAACATGCCATCAACCTTGAAAAAATTCACCTAGGGAATAATAACATTTATCTGTTAAAAATACTTTTAAATTTTTCCTAAATGATGATATTAACTGACAATTTTGAATATTCACTGGCAAGTAATTGAAAATTCTAACTCCCATACAATCAGTTGCTAACACACCAACATTACAACGTTTAAACGGAACATGAATCTGATGTTTTTGTCGGGTATTTACTTTATGTACGTTATGGACATACGTTAGATTATGTCGGTTTTTATAAATGTGAACACTCATTTCAAATATGTATAATGACGGAAGAGTCAATATATTTAATTTTTTAAAAAGGCTTTTGCAGCTTGTATGTTTACTTGCACCGGCAATTGTTCTGATGGCACGTTTTTGACTAATAAACACATTGGCTGCGCTTGGTGACCCACCCCATAAACAAATACCATACCTAATTCTGGATTCCACATGAGCATGGTATATATTAACCAATTGATCAATATTTAAAATTATCTTTAAATTTCTTAGAAGATAACACAGTGAGTTTAATTTTGGAACCAGTATTTTGGCATGTGACTTAAAGTTGAGGTTTGTATCTACCATAAGACCTAGAAATTTTATGGTGTCGACAGTGTTATGCTGTAGATTTGAACATTTGAGATCTATATACTTACAGGTGTTTTGGCGATTACGAAATCTTATAACTTGTGTTTTTTCAGAGTTTATATAAATGTTGTTGGTGGAAAACCAGGATTGGAGATTCGTCATTAAAATATTAACCTCTCTTTCTAATTGAACTTCATTGCGATCTGAAATTATAATCGACGTGTCATCAGCATATAAAACAGGTGATACATTTTTAAAGATGCTTTCAATGTCGTTTACGTAAAGAAGGAAGAGAATGGGTCCCAGAACTGATCCCTGGGGCACACCTACATCTATGTCAATTATGTTAGAACTGATTTGATTTTTAAAATTTTCTTTATTGGTATTCGGAATTACAACGTACTGATGCCTGTTCTCGAGGTAGGATACTACCCAATCCAAGCTATTACCTCTACATCCATAAGAGAATAATTTGGTTATCAACAGATTATGATTTACGCAGTCGAATGCCCTGCTGAGATCACAAAAGATAAGTTCGTCCTTTTCTCGAAAAATTAAAAAACGAAAAATTGAGAAATTGAAAAATTAAAAATAAACTATTTCCAAGTATGTAATTCCAAGTTGTTTCGTTTCTTCGATTTATTATTTTCTCAGTTCGAGATTTTTAAATTTTTGTTTTTTTTTAATTGTTAATTTTTTTTTATTTTTCCGTGTTTCGTTTTTGCATTTTTCGATTTCTCGATTTTTTGGTTTTTCGATT